TGAAACAGATCAGCAGCAACATGAAACAGATCAGCAGTGTAGTGAATGTGGAGGGAGAACTTTGCTGTAGCTTCACTACTAATTAATTATTCTTAAAGCTAGTTCAAGCACAAAGAATATTAATTATTTAAATACAACGGATTCTTTCTTTTTCGAGTTAAATTAATGCCATGTGACCGGGATAACTGTGAGGATTGTTTAATCAGTGACATGAGATGCCATTGTTTCTTTGACCCATCAGAATAAATGCGGTCATTTATTTAACAGAGTCAAAATTTAACATCAAAACATGTACACATTGATTTGTTGATCTGTTTCTGATTAATAAAAACTTGGCACGCTTTACTAACAAGACAACAGAACATTACTGATGGAGGCATCTAGATTACTGGCAAAATAGAAGTTTAAGGGAAAGAATAGATAAGTTCAAAAGGAAGATGGATGAAGGAAGATGTATGTTTTGTTGACCAGAATTAGCACGCTTCTTTCAACACCAGCTCAAACCCCTGGTCCACTTAGTGCGTAGCAACTCATGATGTCTCTTTACCTTTGCAGAGGATGGATCAGCTCCGGTATAGATGTCCCTATGCACGCTACCTTTCAGCGTCTCCGGTCAGGGTGGCTGGTCATTGTCAGAAGTCGTGTGTTTTTTTTCTCCGTTCAACAGAACAAGCTTCCTTCGAAGTTGTAGGGCGTTACGCCTGGGTGAGTTCACAGCGAGGCACTGTGACTCCGCTGGGATGGACGGACCCTCGTCTCACGGTCAAATCCATCAGCTATAGATTAAATCTGAAAGTTCCTTAGGAACTCTCAGGAAGACTCCATAGTCCCAAGAAAGACTCAGGAAAACTGAGTAAGACTCTAGGAAGACTCCAGGAAGACTAAATAGTTCCAGGAAGTGTTGACTTTTAAAAGAGTGCTCACTTCCGGTCACTTGGTACTTCCTGATTGGTTGAAACAACCAGCAGGGGTGTGGTTCTAGTGATGTCAGAGGGTTATTAAAAGTCAAGAGAGGCTGTTGGAATGTTTAGGAACGATTAGTACAGACAGAGAAATGTTTTGAAGAAGTGAGAAACTTTGCAGGTGCTAGCTTCTTGTTTACTGTCTGCTAGGTTTAAAAACAAGACACTTCGTTCTAATAACTTGCTTTCTGACTGTCTCTGACTTTCGACCGACATCACTACTCCTCATTCAGACAGAAGATCAAAATGCATAATTACTTTGTAAATAGACATTTAAAATGATTTCTAAGTCTAATGAGGTTTAAAAATCATTAATACTGTTTCACAGTTGATTTAAAATGAGTGGTTCACTTCAACATTTAAAAATGGTATGAACTAAACACACTTTGATTATCAAGATATTCTAAAATAGTAATGATAATGTAAAAAAAAAGAGTGTTCTTTCAATTGATTAATTCAGGATACAATTAAATAGTCTCTTGATGAGCTAATTTGTATTTCTGGATTCAAATCAATGAAATAACAGTTCCTGTCCCATGAAGGTCTTCAGAGACAGATTGTTGTCGGAGGCCTAGTTCACTACAGTAGCAACATGAAACAGATCAGCAGCAACATGAAACAGATCAGCAGTAACATGAAACAGATCAGCAGCAACATGATGTGATTTTTCACAGTGATTATTCTGGTTAGCGATTCATGAGTTGAACAACCTCAGGGTAGAAGCTGTTCCTCAGTCTAATGGTTCTACACTTAATGCTCCTCAACCTCCTTCCTGAGGGGAGCGGGGCAAAAAGTGTGTGTTCTGGGTGAGTGGGGTCCTTCATGATGCAGGTGGTGGTTTAAAAGCCACTGGGACGTTGTGTTTAGAAAGTAAACGTCTCAGTTTCTCTGATACTCCCTCAACGTTCCAGTGGCTTTTAAACCCCAAAATACATTACGGCAAAGACTGGTTCGTCCCAAAGATCCAGTCCCCCGGCACAAACAGAGTAATATTGTGTATGTTGTTCAGTGTCAGGAGGGCTGTGATCAGTCTTACATGGGGGAAACTAAACAGCCACTGGCCAAAAGGATGGCCCAGCACAGAAGATCAACATCATCAGGCCAGGACTCTGCGGTCTACACTCATCTCCAGGCCAGCGGTCACTCTTTCAGGGATGAAGATGTTCACATCCTGGACAGAGAGGAACGATGGTTTGAGAGAGGAGTAAAGGAGGCCATCTTTGTGAAAAGAAACTGTGCATCATTAAACAGGGGTGGAGGCCTCCGGGTTCAACTGTCCCCCTCTTACAATGCTGTGATTGCTAGTATCACTCAGCCCTCTGTGAATAGTAAACAGCCATCAGGGTGCTAATGATCCATTGTTAGGCTGATGGTCCTTCTTGAGCATGTGATCAGCTGGTTTTGGTTGTCAGCAGCAAAACTGGTTGATCCACTCTGAGAAGGTGCTATTTAAGAGACTGAGCTGAATACAGCACCTCAGACTGAGGAAGTCTTTCGGATGGAAGACGAAACGTTTCTACATCTTTTGTTGTTTTGCTTTGTTTTGTATTTTGAATGTCCAGAGGACCAGATTTAACTTTTTTATATTTTTCTACCTGGATTATTGAGCATGCGTCAGGACATGCTCTCATAGTTATTGAATTAAGTGTTTGTTTATGTAGGTAAATGTGAAGTTTAACATCATGTTAAAATACACCAGAATGCAGGAAATGGCATTTACTTTATTAAAAATTTTATGGGGAGGAACCCTCAACCCACCACCACCAGTGCCCCCCCCCCCCCCCACACACACACACATTAAAAATGCTTCTGATGTCAATGACCCCTGCATTGTTCAAGCCATGCCATGTGCCATTGTCAGCACTGGGGGCTAAGCACCCCTAAAGCTCAGATTGTAGAACTGCCCCTGCTCATGACATTTGTGACGGTTCTCAACTTTCTCACGGGTCATACTGACCTGAAGCATAAGTTTTAAACTTGTTCAAAAAATGTTGTGCGGCAGCTTTCTCTCAAAATAGTTCCAAAGTCAATGTGGGCGTCTCTAACCCATCTCAAGAATGCAACAGCTAAACTGTGACAACTGGGAACTTAAAGCAAAACAACCTGATGAAATAAAATAATAATCAGAGCTTTTAATTTATCACATTTATACACTGATGGGACACACATCGCAGGCGATGAGGGGTTCATTGTCTTGCTCAGGGACACTTCAGCATGTGAGTGCTGGTGGACTCGAACCCCCAACTCTTGTAGGACTACTGCTCTAACCACTCGACCACAGCCGCCCTATATAAAACAGTACCTTACAAATGTTCTAAACATCTTTAAGTCATAATTTACTTTTGTGCATAGTAATGAGATTAGTCATGAGTAATCGCAAAAATATTTTAGATAAATTGCAATTAAATTTATATCGGGTCAGAGATGCCTGTAAAAATAGTTAGATGGGTTTGAGATGCCCACACTGCAATCTGCTTAAGATAAAGTTTGTTGCACAACATTTTCAAACATGTTCAAACTTTATGTGTCAATACTGCAAACATTTGTGACCAACACTTGGAAATTAATAATCCCCGTGAACCTTTTAAAACATTTTGGAAACTCTTTTGAAACGCAGTTCTCCCACTAAACTCCAGCTGTCGCAGCTCAGCGAGAGACTTCTTTTAGAACCAAACACCATAAAAATATAACATAAACTCTTTTTTTGTATTCTTTGGTAGAAACCAAAGAAAAAATATGCTAAGCAATGGGAGTGGAAGAGGCAAACACATATTGTATAGATAAAAACATGTGAAAAGTGTTTGATAAATTAACAGATAAATCCACCATCAATCCTTCATCTTTATCTGCTTTTTCTTTTTCGGGTCGCAGGGGTCAATGGTGCCCAAATCCAGCTATCACTGTGCGAGAGGTGGGTGGAGGACACCCTGGACAGGTCTCCAGTCCATCACAGGGACACATAGAGACAAACAAACATTCACTCTCTCACTCACACCTAGGGACAATTTAGAGTTACCAATCAGCCTAACATGCATGTTTTTGGTCTGTGGGAGGAAACTGGAGTACCTGGAGAAAACCCACACATGCACGGAGAGAACATGCAAACTCCACCCAGAGAGGTCCTCAGCCAGGATTTAAACCGGCGACTTTCTCATTGCGAGGCAACGGCTCTAAATGAACCACTGTGCTGTCCTCAGATAAATCATCTCAAATGTAATCTTCATGAAATTCTACTGTAAGACTCTTAACTCATTCTGACTGTAGAAATTATAATAAAAAAACATAAGCAGCACTTGTTTTATTTCACAGAGGAAGCTTTTCACGAGCTGCGCGCGCTAAATTGAACTTATAACAAGTATCGTGTCAAAACAGAATATTGCCTACATCGAGTGTGTTCAGGGTTTTCAGGGAACTGCTGTCTAACTTTTAAATTGAAACGTGTACTTGCAGGTTTCATTAACAAAGCAGCACATCCAGTCCTTGTTCCTAACTCAAAGCGCACCGCCTCTGAGTGCCACTTTATCTGCCTCGCTCGTCTGCTCAGATGAATTCAATCGCGGCGTGACTCACTTGACTGAGGAACGAGAGACAAACAATCCCGGCTCATTTGACGCACGCTACCTGAGAGTTCACAAAGTCACACGTGGAAGCCTGATGTAGACGAGAGACAAAAGGCGTGGATAAAACCCGAGCTCGTCAGGCTCCTTTTTGTTGCCATGACAACAGTCCTCTCCAGTTGCGGAAGAAAAAAAGAGGCTCAGAGGGACGGGTGGCAACAGGCTCCGCCTACCTGGGGACACTTAGAGACATAACTTGGCAACTATATCAAACCTATGTGGATGGCAACATTTTACCTGTTAACAAACTAAATCAAACTGTATTACTCTCTTCTTGTTTAGTGTCCCATCCCTGCCCTCTGTGGCCTCCTGACAGCGCATGGCGGATGCAGTTCAGGGTGTGTTGCTGTGCCAGCAGGTGCAGAAGCAGGTCGAGCAGGTTGTGAATACCACTCTGTTGGGCCCTCCTCCCTCTGCTCCCGGTTTCTTCCTCCAGGGCAACTGCTGATTCATTCTTACGTGCTGGCAGGTCAGTGAGGAGAGTTAGTTGTCTGCGCACCTGTTCACATCCGACACAACCAAAGATCAAGGTAAGTCTTCGCTGCAGAGACATTTCATATTTAACAAGCAACAAACGGGAAACAGGACCAACTATAATTTTTAAAAGGTGTATGATTTACAAGAGTCACGTTAAAAGCCATACAGAAATAAAATGTTGCTTTAGACTAGGGAACAAATCAACTTAATTTAAAAGCAGAAGTTAAAAGTAAACACAATAAACAGCTTAAATGTATCAGTTCTTGTTACCTTAATTGGTTATTAGTTGTGGTTTGCTCCATGTGCTGATGGACCGCTTAATTTGTAGCGTGACACCATCAGTTGTTTGTCTGATCACGTATATAAGTACAGCGCAGGAAATACACGCCACACTTTGTATAACTCAGCTAATCGAGCTGTTTTAACATAAATGTTACGTAAATTAGAGTAAATGAGGAGCTGATAACAGCGGAGGGAAACGGCTTAAATGTCAGCTAGTTATTGTGGTTGAGTGTCTGTATGTAGGTCGAAGGGTGCTCTCTGGGTGTAGTGTTTCTGTCTATGTGCGTTCCTTTGTTTACGCGGGACTGGATCGCTGAAGAAGGCTGACAGGGCTGCTGAAGCGATAGCTGGAACAGCCTCTGACAGAGCAGCGGAGTGGGAACTCTTTTCAACAGAAGGCTTCTCCGAGTGTGATAGGTCAGAGGTAAACATGTCTTCCTGTCTCCTCGACCCGCTGCCTCTCAAAGGCTCGCTGGTGAGACACCCGCAGACAAATACTCTCAGAGCAGCAGCGTGGGAGGATGTGGGAATCATGTGATGGACAGGAAGTGGCACCGGCTTGGATTCAACAGCCCACATATGTGGGCAGCACAGGCCCAAAATATTCAGAACATTTGTCTGTGAACGCTCCGAGTCGTTTCAGGTGACCTGTACATTTCTGGAAGATTTAAAGTCATTACCTCCAATCTGTTGTTTGCACATGCAGGATTGTTTCCACACATGACATATTCGTTTACAGAGCACACATCAAAACCAACTTATATAACCTTCTCCACTTTCATCTTGAATTGCAAATGAGATTCAGTATATGTACGGCAAGATTAGGCTTTTAAACATAGAATAATCAGTTTAAAAGATTGTTTTACTAATGATTCAAAATGTGAAGTTAAAATTCCAGCATGTTTACAACAAACTGATGGAGTAGAGTCAAAAAACAGACAGATAACAGAAGATAAAAATAAGAAACATACATGTAGACAAACAGTAGGTTCCAGCTTTCAAGCTAACTTCATATAAAGAATCGTGAAGAGAGGCTGATGGAATGGACGGATTGCCCACCTTTTTTTTTTTTTTTTTCCAGCTGGCTAAAACTTATTTAAAAGTCTGGGGAGAATATTCACTGAAAATGCCAAAGTATTTTTTTTTTAGGAAAAGCTCTGACCACATGCACTGCATCCTTTAACTGGGCTGCAACTTTTAAACACTAACCGGCCATCCATCCATCCATCCATCCATCCATCCATCCATCCATCATTTTTATCCGCTTCTTCCTTTTTTGGGTTGCGGGGGTCACTGGCACCTATGTCCAGCAGTCACTGTGTGAGAAGCAGGGGACACCCTGGACAGGTATCCAGTCCATCACAGGGACACAAACAACCATTCACTCTCTCACACACACCCAGGGAGAAAAGAAAAGAGAACATGCAAATTTTCTTTTGTAGTCTCAGTACAAACAGCAAGTCATGGGGTCATGTGCAGCAGTTTGTGAAAATCACAGTCTGTTTAGTGTGCATGAGTTGCAAAACTGCATTCTTAGCCATGCACATTATTTTAGTGTCCACCTCTGCCCACACCGTCCCCACCTCAATGTGTTTGGGAGTCACCCTCACATTTGTGATTTTATCTTCTGGAGAAGAAATCTGCTATTTTTTAAAATTAATTAGAAATAAGAAATACATTAATTAATTTATATTTTCACCAGCATCGTTTTTAGACATGGCCATTTGCCTCAGAGCTGAACTCCCTTAAAGGTGTCAAAGAGCAGCTCTTGATAAAGATGATGGAGATGCCTACACGATTCAGATGACTGAGATGTCCACAACAACTCTGTTTTGAAAGCAAATGTGTCACATCCTTTTTTCATTATGTTCAAAACACAACAGGACTATGCACCATTGCAACTCATGCAAGGAAACTGAGATGGAAACATCACAAGACATTCTGGAAACTCCCTAAAATGACCATTTACCAACTATCTAGAAAAAAGTTTTCAGGTCCTCTGGACAGATTCTTCTTGTTGAAACATTTCGTCTTTTATTCAAAATACTTTTCAGTCTGAGGAGCTGCAACAAACTCAGCTTTATAAATTGCACCTTCTTCTCTTGTCTTGATTAACCAGTTAGCTAGAGACAGCCAAAACTAGCTGTTCACGTGCAAAAAGAGGACCATCAGCCTAACAATATATTGTTAGTGCCCTGATGGCTGTTTACTATTCACAGTTCACAGGGGCCTGAGTGATACTAGCAATAACAGCATTGTAAGATGGGGACAGTTGAACCCGGAGGCCTCCACCCCTGTTTAATGATGGACAGTTTCTTTTCACAAAGATGGCCTCTTTTACTCCTCTCTCAAACCATCGGTCCCCCCCATCAAGGATGTGAACATGTTCATCCCTGAAAGAGTGACCGCTGCCCTGGAGATGAGTGTAGACCGCAGAGTCCTGGCCAGATGATGTTGCTCTTCTGTGCTGGGCCATGCTGAAGAAGTCTTTTGGATTAAAGTCGAAACGTTTAACCAAGAAGAACCCGTCCAGAGGACCTGACTCAACGGATTATTGAGCATGCATCAGGACATCTAATAACCAGTTGCAGCACTCTGAGATATCTTTATTTCCCAACACAGGAGCTTGATCAGGAACTCATAAAACTGGAGGTAAAACAGTGTCTCAATGTTCAAACCAAACAAATCTCCAGTTTGTTGTGTGAATGCTACATTTGACGTCTCTCCTAAGTGTCACGAGACTCCGTTGTTTTTATTATGTTTACCTGTACTTGGTTCATTTGATTCAGGAAGATTGACAGAAAACATCCCTCCCCCCCGGACTGTAAAAAAACAACAGTTTATTCTGACTGAGGTGCATTTATTACTGGACCAACCTATTTTTCTTAATGATAGGCAAAAGCAAACAGTTTGATTGATCCGGCATTCAGCAGGCAGGCAGACGCCAGCAACCACCTGGGGCTTTTTCATCAATTTTTCAAAGTACAGGAAAGAAAAATAGACAGTGTTTGTGGAAGATGAACATGCTTGTTGAGGAACGGCCCATAGATTACCATTTCTGGCCTGTTGGAATTTGTCAGTCAGTCACATTAATTAACAGACAATATAGTTCCAGTTAGTGGTACCAGTATATTTCCAGTTAGTGGTACCAGTATTAAACAGCCAAAGTGAAAACACAGTACAGTACAGGTGGTAAAACTAAAAATAAAATCCCTGGATTTGCATGTCCTCCTTTCCAGCCTCACATACTGTAAGCCTTTCACACTGACAGTGCGAAGGAACAAAGCAGCTGATCAACAGAGAGACTCACAGCAAGCATGCCCTGCAGGGAGATGCTGTCGTTTGTATGTAGGAGTTATGCCGAGGGGAAAACACACAGCTCACAGAGCATTTGTGTTAATTCACCCTGTCAATAAGTCACATATCTCTCTTGAAGTTGTGTTGCGACTGTTGATCCGGATATCACTGCAGGCATTATTGCATAGAAATACACAGACAAACTCCTGATGTTGCGTTTCAGAGTGTCATGATCCCAAAGATGTTATCTATCAAACGGAGGCTCTTTGATAGTTGCAAGGTGGGGCAGGATCAGCTCTTCAATGATTTCCAGTATGACTTGATGTCAGTGCAGCTGACCTGTGCTATCAAAGCAGGCAGCTTTATTTTACTTTATTTTTAACTTTTGGAACAAGCATAAATGTTTTGTTGCACTGTGAGTCCTTCAGTCGAGTCAAGGTGAGTATGAATGTTGTGAAGAAAGAGAATTTGAACAACTTTGAATTTCTTCATATGGTACTTTCTGTTTGTTACACACGAAACCAAAGCAAACACACACAGATCTGAACATAGAAAATGTAACTAATGATTTATATTATTTTTCTTACCCACATTTTTATTATCTTTTTAATCACTGAAATGTATTGATATCAAAAAGTCATAAAGTGTTGTAACACCAAAGAATATCATTAAAAATGCTTCTGCAGTTTCTCACAAACACATATCACATCACAAGGTTTTAGCCTGTTGTTCCCCTTTGAGCAGCAAAAATGGGGGAAATGGAAATACCCTCCATCCATCTGTGCATGTTGTGAGCACAATAACTTGAAAAACAAGTGAGGCACTGACTTTCTGTTTGGTGTGTGTTTGCATCTAGGTGTAAGAAAGACTTATTTCAAAAATTGGGTTGCAATGTCAAAATCCAGGATGGCCACCACCATGTTAATATGTAAACCAGCCACCTTATCATTTGAGAAAAAAATATGCGCTCTAGTTCTTATTATGCTTAAAAACTTTGTTTACTCAAATGATTCGGTTGGCCGAAGATTAATCTATGGTGGCCAGGGCCACCACTGGCCACCCACTTGTTCTGACATTGCACATGGGGGTTGAAAAAATTGCCCCTCCACTCACCAGGATCCATATCTCTGCTCTGTCTTGGACAAGAAAAATAACCTATCTCTGTTATTTTACAGAGTAACTTCTACCCTTTGAAATATTTGGCACCAAAAACATTTAAGGTTTACTTGTATCCCCTGCTCATTTCCAGAACAGAAAAACACTCACCTCAAAAAAACTATTCAAATCCTTCAGCAACAGGGGATATTGGCATACCGCTTGTTGCAGTATTAATCTGTATTAAGATATTATATCCACTTGTTACTAATATATGGGCAACAACACCACCAGCCTGATCAAGAAAGCTCATCAGAGACTCTACTTCCTCAGACAGATGAGGCGAGCTGGTCTGGGAAGCTCAGTCTTCACCTCCTTCTACAGGTGTGCAGTGGAGAGCATCCTGTGCTCCAGCATCAACGTGTGGCATGGAGGCTGCACAGCTGCAGCAAGAAAAGCTTTGCAGAGAGTGGTGAAGGCTGCACAGAAGTCTGTTGGAGTCAGTCTCCCCACCATCACAGACATCTACACCTCCAGATGCAGGAAGAGGGCCACCTGCATCATGAAGGACCACACTCACCCAGCACACAAACCCCGCTCCCCCCAGGAAGGAGGTTGAGGGGCATTAAGTGTAGAACCACTAGACTGAGGAACAGCTTCTACCCTGAGGCTGTTAGACTCATGAATATCTAACCAGAATAATCACTGTGAAAAAATCACATCATGTTGCTGCTGATCTGTTTCATGATGATGTGTTCATGCGTGCTCATCTGCTCACAGACTCATGTTCATGTTTGTGCTGATGTCCGACGTAATGTTTTTATGCTATTAGTGCTTAGTGTATATTTAGTTGATGTTTTTCTTAGTTCACATCTTAGATGTTATCATTGTTTTTCTTTTACATTTTATTGTTGGATGTAACTGGGACCCTGTGTACATAATTTCGTTCCACCACATGTACCACATGGGGTGCAAATGACAATAAAGAATCTCTGACTCTGACTCTGATATATATAGTATTATTCTATATTAAGATATTATATCTGCGTGGTACTTTATCTAAGTGTCTTTCTGTCTGTCCGTCTATCTATTTATCCATCCGTCCGTCTCTCTCTCTCTCTCTCTCTCTCTCTCTCTCTCTCTCTCTCTCTCT